TTGAACAAGTTTACAATCCCACCAACAATGCAGTAAGGTTCCCTTCTGTCCACATCCCCTCCAGCATCTGTTGTTATTAGAGTTCTTGATTCTAGCCATTCTAACTGGGGTGAGATGGTATCTCAATGTTGTTTTGATTTGCATTACTTTTATGGCTAGGGAGGTTGAGCATTTCTTCATGTGTCTATTGGCCATCCCTCTTCTCTTCAGAGAAGTTTCTCTTTAAGTCTTTAGCCCACTTATTTATTGGGCAGTTGTTTCTTTGAAGATTTGTTTTGAGGGATTTAATTTTTTTAAGTTCCAGGTATATTTTAGATATGAGACCCTTGTCTGTTGTATGGCTAATGAAGATCTCCCAATCCGTGGGCTTTCTATTGATCTTGGGAGCTAAGACAGCTTATTCAGTAAATTGTGCTGGCAAAATTGGTTAACTACTTGTAGAAAATAAAGCTAGATCCTTATATATCGCCCTACACCAGAATCAACTCCAAATGGATCAAAGATCTCGGAGTCAAAGCAGACACTCTGAAAACATTACAGGATAGAATAGGAGAAACTGTAGGTCTCCTTGGCACAGGCCGAAATTTTCTTAATAGAGACCCAGAAACACAACAAATCAAAGAAAGGTTGGACAAATGGGATTGTATGAAATTGCAGAGCTTCTGCATGGCAAAAGACATAGTCTCTGAGCTTTTTAGCTCAAGGGTAGTGCTCTACCACTTTGAGCCACAGCTCCACTAATTGGAGGTAAGAGTCTCTTGAACTTTCCTATCTGGGCTAGCTTCGAACTGTGATCCTCACATCTCAGTCTCCTAAGTAGAGAGGATTACAGGCGTGAGCCACTGGTGCCAGGCTTAAATCTCCTTTCTTCATCCTTGACCATGTCTCTTTCTTTGGTAAATGGGGATAGATGGCCAGACATCATTTCGGACTCCTAGATTTTCACAACCACACCACAATTTGACCATATCATCATAATTCTGTATTCCTATCACTCCTACTCCAATTCTTCCTGGTTTTTAA